GGATTTCCCTCGCGTTTAAAGTTGAAAAAAAACAATGAAAATTAGGAATAATCAATGATAACCTGCATATTGGCTAAGTTAATAAGTTAAAAGGTAAGTTGTTACCTTATAAATGAAATTTGAAACACTCCCGATGCTTCTATTGAGTAAGTTGTTGTTTGGATGGAACAAAGGCTCGGGCTAATATTTATAGTGGAGCCGAAATTTATATTGAAATTCAAACTCAAATTGAAATTTAAATTCAAACTCCAATCACATATGAAATGAATTTGAAATGCAGTGTTAATTTGAACATGAAAATTGCATAATTGATTCATACTGTTCAAGTAACATGCTTTATGAACCATCAAGTTAAAAGAAAATTGATGAGTCAAAGCTGAGTTGTGAATTGATGGGGTTTTCACACTTGTCACATGGTGGGAATAAAGTACTCACATGGAAGAGATATATTGTTTTGTTATGCACAACCCATCCCATCTGAATGAAAATATGCATACAATATAATCAAACCAAAACATACATACACAACAAATTTATACATAACAATGTTCAAATAATGTACCCACAACGAAATTAATCCGATGAAAAAAAATTATTTCTAACGAAGTCCGGAACATTATTTTCCAAATAATGTACCCATAACAATGTTCAAATAATGTACCCACAACAATGTTTAATTGATTTGTTGTTTAATTTTCAATCTGCATTATGTTGAAGGCAAAAAAGACCTGCTGAAGGTACACTTTCGCAACGCGAAAGTCAAATTCGCAACGCGAAAGAATCGTTCGCGTTGCGATTTTCTCGTTGTGATTGTTGTGATAGTCAAATTCGCGTTGCGATTGTTGCGAAAGTCAAATTCGCAAACACTAGAAGATGTCAGGTTTGAAAGATGGTCAAGAGTACATCAACCTGGAGCAAAATATGGTTTCATGACGTCTAATAGTGCAGAATCAATCAACGCTCTAAGTTGTCATTCCCGAAAATTACCCATTACTATGTTAATGGAGTTTTTTAGAACCTCTATTCAACAGTGGTACTATAAGAAAATAAACCATGCAGATATTATTTTTTTAAATTCGTAACTTATCATATTTAATATATTTTACTAAGTATTCTTTATTTAAATTTACAGGAACATTGGAACGTCGTGTTACATCATGGACTGAAAAAAGATAACGAAATCAACAGTGCAAGTGACTGTGAAATATGAGGAAGGAGCGCCGAGAAAGAAATAAGAGGAAAACGATGAGTTTGATTTTGTTTGGTTTCGTAAAACACTAGAAAAATATGTAAATTTAAAATTTTTAAAATATAATTAATATATTTTTTCCAAAATCAAATCTCATAACTTTAAAAAAGAATAATTTTTATATTTTATACTCGTAATTTTTTTATTGTTGTCGATGATGTATGTGAGAACGGCAAGAAAATAGTTTGGGTGCATGGGATTAGGAGCCTGCTACCTGATACATGTCAAGTAGGTTTACTTAGACATAACATTCTTTTTATCGGAAGTGACGTGACTAACCATTTTTTGGTGTGAAAAAATATTTTTTTTATCATTTCTCCAAAAGTTGTTAAATTGGGTGGGTGATTTGTGTTCCTCCTTACGTTTTGCAATTCTCGTTTCTGATATTTTAAATAAATAGTTAATATTTTATTTAATAGAATTTTAATTACATACAATTTAATATGTTGTTTATTATTTATCTTATAATATTACTTATTTTAAATTTATGTGTTGAGTAAGAAAATATAATATAAATAAATTCTTATACATTGAAAATTTTTTTAAAAATTGAACCAAATTAGGAAATCAAAACGTAACAAAAACATAAGTTTAGTGATGATTTTGAAGAAAAAAAGTTGAGTAATTCAAAAAGAATCGCATAAATAGTGGAGTGACTAAATATGTAATTTACCCATGTGATTTTTTATTGTGGTAAATAAGATAACGATTTATACTTTACAGGACAAAATGTCTTAAAAAATACTTTACGAGTAACTCAGATGCATTTGGTTCACAGAATGTAGTTGGAATAAAAGATTATCGAGGAATATGATTACTGGGAATGTTGTATTTTGTGTGTTTTGTTAGTTTTTAGAGAATATAAGATTATAGTGTTGATTAAAATATAAAAGATTATATAATGTATATTTTACCAAAATGGTCCTTATATATATTTATTTTTAACAAGTTGAATTCTACTATAAATTACTATAATTAATTTATATATTTATTTAAAAAATTTAAATTCATAAAAATTTATATATAATTTTTTACAAAATTAAAAAGATAAATAGGTTTAATGAAAGGGTAAAATTTTATTTTAAACCCTGAACTTCATATAAAATTCTAATTATGGATTTTTTTTATAAATCTATAATAGTTTAAGGATAAATTTGTAATTTAACATTTGTATAAATTTTATTATTCAAAGACAGAAGAATGATATTTTTGAAAAAAAAATTAAGGGCATTTTAGTCTAAAACACCGGTAATCCAACAATACTTAAATGAATGAGATAATTACATTCCCGATAATATACCCTAAAAAATTTAATGTCAGTAATAAAAGATTATCAGTAACTGAAAATATTAACCAACGAAACGAAAAAATAAAATTTCTATTCCCCGATAATAAGATATATCTTCAACCAAACAGTCAGTAAAGGGCAAAGGTCCATTTAAGCGTTATTAACAATGACAATTTGGACGTATTTTGAGAATTGAGTTTATTTATCGACGCGTATTCGTTTTCCAAACCCTCTTACCCCTTTTGTCCCCGCCTCGCCCTTTTATTTTGGTCATTTGCCCTTCGCTGTTTTATTTGATTTTGGTTTTTTTGTGTAACCGACTTTCTGAAATATCGCGGATCTTTAAGTAGTGAAGTACGCGCATTGTCTTTTATTATTAGCCTGATTTACTTCAATATGAGGTTGGAGGAAGAGTTCTCTCATTGCGACCATTACGACGAGGAGGAGCAACCCGAAACGATGTCGCAAATTTCCATAGGAGGTTTACAACAACAAAAGGTTGTTGTTGTTGTTGTCGGTTATGCCCTTACCTCTAAGAAAATTAAGAGCTTTTTACAACCCAAGTTTGAAGGTTTAGCCAGGTGCATATTGAGTATTCCATTTTGTTTTCTTCTTCTTGTTGGGCTATGCTTTTTTTGTTGGTTAGTTGATCGTTTTGGAATCTAAAGTTTGTGATTCCGACATCGAGAAAATATCATTCTCCCATTTGACGTCGTTGTCGCAGTTTATGTGAATGATATTACACCCAATAGTACAACTTCAATAAGTCAGATTTTTATTTTATGGCTTTGGTTTATTATAGTGATTATAATATGTCATTTCCTTATTTTATTTTGGATTGATCCTTAAGATATTTATTATTTACAGGGTTTCTTGTATCATAAATTTTGACTTTGTTGCTGGTAAAAATGTAATTATCGTTAATTTTATATTTTTCAAGTTGAACCTTAGACTTGCTTCAATTCCTCCATGGCTCTATGGGAATGGTATTTATTTATTCTTTATTAAGTGACTGGGACATGATCCTCTGCTAATATTAAAATATGGGTTCGATTCTGTTGTGTTTTTAAACTAAGGGGTGTGGTAGTTTTGTACCTTGATAGGAGAAAAGGCTTGGGTTTGGCGGTTAGTTGATATGTCTTTGCATATTTTTAATTGTCTTTAATTGATCTGTTATTAAATTTCATGATGAGATGAAAAGAGAAAAAAGAGATGCAAATAATCACTTGCACGTTCATGGTCTCACGTAACATGACCCATTTTCCGTATCTGATGCAGTTGACTGGAAAAGAATGGCGCCAGATTATTGAGGTTGGTCCAAATTCTAGACCACATATTTTATGCGTTTTTTTCTCTTTTCTCTTACATGTGGGGTGTTGTGGAATGATTGAGGGTGAAGCCGCTTCTGTTCGATACATTGTGTTGTGGTTTTGATGTGTTTTTACTTGTGAGGAGCCAAATAACCCAGTGACAGGTGTCAGACAACTGTGGTGTTTAACTCTCATAAGTGGCTAATATAATTTGCGGACTTATTGCCCTTTCCTTCCTCATGAAACCTGACTGGATAGTTGAGGTCGAGGCCTTAAGATTCCAGCGAGTGAATATGTTTCTACTTCCATGGCCATCTAGCTGATTTTTCAGGTTTTCCTTAGCATTACCTGTGAAGCAAACTTTTACTTTGTTTTGTATGGCTTCATTTGTCCTGCGTATAGTTCACACCTTTCTGTCCTGACTCAAACCTAATAAGTATAGGATCTGGTGTACCTCTATATTTGCTATATCATGCTTGACGAAGTGACCGGCAAAATGATTCAGTTGTTTGCAAATACCATTATGTGTTCTAGAATGACAGCAACCAACTTGTGCCTCAGCAACAGCAAGATTAAAATTCTTTCAAATTTATTAGTTGTTCTTTGGAACTTAGATATTGCTTGTTATTTGTATTACGTTAAGAGTAAATAAATAGTCCAGTTAACAATTCTCAATATTTTAATAATTGTAGGTCTATAGAGGTATCATCTTCTTAAATCATGCTCAACTTCTTTGGAATCTGTTGCTAGATTGCAAGTTCAGTTAGTTAGTAGTGGTCCAATTTCCCTTTTTATGCTCCCAGGCTGGTTTGAACTTGTTCTTTAGTATGTAGGTGCAGGCACTGGTAAAAATTGTAGTACGTGCCCAGCTCCTTTTGATACAGTTTTTTAATTGTCTTCTTTTAGTTGTTAGCTTTCATATAGTGAGCCTGTTTTGATGTTTATTTTCAAACGGCTTCATTTGTTTATGTTGCTTAATTCGTTAAGTTTCTCTTTTTTGTGGTGGTCTGTTGATTTGGTTATTTAATGGGGGTCATGCTTGCCATGTTGCTCTGCTTTCTTAAATATCTTGTTATTGTCTTGTATGAAATGTTTTCAAGTCTCAATAGTTCAGTTTCTGTGTGGTTTTATGTTGCAATCAGAGGATGGTTTGTTGTTAGTCACAGTGCCGAAGGAAAAATTAGAAATCTGCCTTGTGATTGTGTATGAATACCCAGTGGATTATAAACATATGAAGCATTCTAGATGTCTGTTTCAAAAGCTTTTCTTCTTAATAGAATGAATGGAATTCTTAAGGTGGAAATTATAAATGGTGAAAATTAAGGAACAAGGATTGTAGATCTTTTTCCTTTTCTTTCTCGGCGAAGGGTTATGAAGTTTTTGATTTTGGAGAGTAATTGGTTTTACATGCATTGGAAGTTATTTGAGTGAAGCTTTTGTCTCTAGGGCTATTTGTATGCTTTCTACACATTTTGTGTTGAGAACATTCCTTCTTACATTCTTTACCATATAACTGCAGAATTATAGACAAACACATCCAGAAGTCACAGTTCTCGATCCTCCTGATGCTATACAACATTTACGCAATCGCCAATCAATGCTACAATGTTTTGCGGACATGAATTTATCCAACTCCTATGGTAATTTGCACTGTCCTTTTTTTGTTGACATTAGAACGGAAGCCTTTTCCTCCCTCTCACACCAACTACTTTTTGGTTTTTGATGAAACATCATCACATTAACCCCCTTGCTGATCAAAGTTGATATTAATGTTTTACCATGCAGGAAAAGTTGGTGTTCCTAGGCAATTAGTAATTAAAAAAGATGCATCATCCATTGCTGATGCTGTAAACAAAGCTGGGCTGATACTACCCCTTGGTATGCATATTTTGTCTTCTGTTATCATATGTGGTAGCATACTATAGGGCCATTGAAGTTGTACAAATTCTTCTGTATTTAGGTTGTGCATTAGGCTTAATAATCTTTCGTCTGGTCTGCTTAGTCTGTGAGATCAGCCAAAAAACATATAGATATGCTTTGAAATGACCATCCAGCTCAGTTGGTAGAGCACAAGGTTCTTAACCTTGAGATCGTGGGATCAAGTCCCATGAAAGGCATTTCATAATTTGGAGGTCTCCTACGGAAGCTGCTCTCAACCTAGTGTTGGGGGCAGCCTACTATCTTACCTCCCCTTTACCCATTACATATGGGAACAAGGGACAACCATATAGATATGCTTTGCCTAGATCATGCTCCCAATCATGTGATTTACTTTAGCTTTATATAATATATAAAACTTAATTCTACTAATAGTTTTCATGGCAATTTGTTCTAATCGAACTTGCATTTTCCCATCATTTCAGTGGCAAAACCATTGGTTGCTGATGGAAGTGCAAAGTCACATGAATTATCACTTGCTTATGATCAATACTCTCTCCAGAAACTAGAACCTCCACTTGTTCTTCAGGAGTTTGTTAACCACGGTATGCAACTGCAGTTCTTAAGAGGCTTTATAACTTAAATTTTATGGCTTTAATGTGCAATACCTAACTGCCGTACTGTCTTTTTCCTAATGTCTGTAGGAGGTGTACTCTTCAAGGTTTATATTGTTGGAGAAGCCATTAAAGTGGTTAGACGTTTCTCTTTACCTGATGTGACTAAAAGAGAGCTCTCAAAAATTAAGGGTGTTTTTCGGTTTCCACGGGTTTCCTGTGCTGCAGCTTCTGCAGATGATGCAGATTTGGTGTAATCCCTAGACCCGGTCTATGCGTTTCGACTAAGTATAGTGGATCACATTATGATTATTAAAGATATTTTTCGCAACCGTTATTCCATCAATATAAAATCACATTATAAATAACATGAAATTATAAACAAATTATACTATCAAAATAACTCGTAAAATAGTACCAATAAATAATAATTTAATTTAAAACATGTCTTCAAATTCAAAATCACAATAAACCGAGCAGTATTAGCAAAAGATTTATCATTATAAAATCCGATATTTTAAAATAAGGTCTATGTCACTAAAATAAAGTCAACTTGCCAGATAAAAACATTACAATCTGATTTACTTCAAGAGATATGTTGATCCTCCAAGTGCTCGAACCAATGTATCTAACCAACAGTATCTGAAAGGGGAAAAACATTTCAAAAAGGTGAGTTAGGCTCAGTGTGTCCCAACATTTCCATAAAATCACAATAGGTACAAATCATAGTCCAATAATCTCACAAATTCGTAAAAGAGTTTAACTTTTTGAAAATCATAGTTTAAACCCTTTTCTGGTACACCATCAGTAGTTCCCAAAATTATTTTCCATATAGCTTACTTTATGCACATAGCAAAAAGAAAGCCGACTTAAGGATAGGCTCTGAAGCTTGTATCCTTAAGCCCAAGTCAATAAGTCCATATAGCTTACCCTAAGCACACAGCAAAGGAAAGCCGACCTAATGAAACATCTTGGGGCCCTCAAGAGTCACATTAGGCCCAGTTAGCTTGATCAGAGCTATTCCATCGTAATTCAATTCCAAAATTCAATTGCACCGTGACATAAATTCCATAAATCCAAAAACATGGTAATCATATACCATTTCAAAACAAAAATTAGATAGCAGCCATATTCCATAAATTGTCACATTAAATTGGTGCATCAATAAAACAATAACCAATGAATTCGGTGTACCACATATTAAAACCAATAAAACAGTTCAGTAATAAGTAGGGAACACACCTCGACAATAGATTCAAATAACAAATCTGATTGCTGGTTTCACCACTCTGCTACAATTTTCGAACGGGTGAATACTGGCACACGTGGTTTAACTGATCTAGAAGAGCTGGGTCGAGCTGTCGAACGATCCGGAGAGTCTCTTGTACCTTCAAACAATAATATTTATCAGTCTCAAATCCTATTTAATTGTTCAAAGCTAACTTCTTAAGTATATACGCATTTTTCGGGTTTGACTATCAATTGAGGTATTTCGAGTCTGAATTTGGCCAAACGGATTGCGGAATCGGAATCAGGGCGTCGAAAAACATAAAGTATGACTTTTCGAAAATTCAAATTCTTGGTCAAAGTCAACCACTTTGACCGTAGATTTGGAGACCTTCGGATTCGAATTTGACAAAACGGACCACGGAAACGGATTCGGCACGTCGAAAAACTATCAGGATAGGTATACTCGGAAAAGATTAACGGTCGTTTAATGCTCGGTCAAAGCCATTTTAAGTTTTGGTCAAAGAAAGTCAACGGTCAACAGTCGTGTCGGGTCGGGTCAACGGTTGGGTCGGGTTGGGTCAACGGTCGGGTCGGGCCGGTCAAACCGGTTCAGACCGATCAAACCGGTTCAGACCGATCAAACCGGTTCAGACCGATCAAATCGGTTCGAACCGGTTGAAACAGGTCAAACCGATCAGAACCGGTTGAAAACCGGTTTCCAGCAGCCACTCGCCCTGCGGCGGCGCGTGTGGCGTGAGGCGTCCTCCGGGGCCCTAAAAATCCCAGAAATTTTCTAAAAAATTTTGAGCGATTTCGAGATACTTACAACGATCGGTTCAAATTTTTGAACGGCGGAGAGCTCGATTTCAAATCGGTCGAATCTTTGACTGCACCACCTCCTCACGCACCGCCGTCTACGGCGGACAAGGTTGACACCGGTGAACTCGGAACGGCACAAGGAACACGATGGTGCGGGAGGTGTCGTAAACGGAGCAACGATTAGCGGTGAATTTAAGATTTCCTCGGCGATAGAGCTAACAAAACCGTCGCTACTTTGACTGGAAATTCCCGACGTTTGGCCGCGTTTCACTTCAATTAATTTGAAGGGTTTGTTCATCGCTCGATGATGAACAACGGTGGTTTCAAAACAACGATCGGAATTCGGACGGCGTTTGGATGGACTTGAAAGTGGAGGTGTGAGAGGAAGAAAATTGAAGGAATAGCATTTGTGATTTCTGATTGTAAATCAGAAATCACGCTTAAATTATCAAGCCTACCGACAGTTTTAGGGGAAATTCAGGGCTTGGTCCCTGAATTTCCTTTACTTCAAACATGGCATACAAGTTTTCATAAATTTTAATTTAGTCACTTAATTCACCCATTTTCACAATTTACCTCCAATTTCAATTAATATTATTTTGTAAATATTCGGGTTGTTACAATTCTCCTCTACAAGAAATTTCGTCCTCGAAATTTACCTTACGAGAATAGTTGAGGAAACTGAGCCTCCATTGACTCCAATGTCTCCCAAGTAGCTTCTGAGGGGCCTCGATTACTCCACTGAACTTTGACCATTGGAATTCGTCTATTCCGAAGAACTCGTTCATCTCTCTAAGATCTGAATGGGCTCTCTTCATATGACAAATTAGGTCTCAGCTCTACTTCTTCAACCTGAATAATGTGACCTGGATCTGGACGGTATCTCCTCAACATTGATACATGAAAGACATCATGAATACGACTTAGCTCAGAAGGCAACTCAAGCTGATATGCAACAGGTCTACCCTCTTCAAGATACGAAATGGTCCAATAAATCTTGGACTCAATTTACCCTTACGCCCGAATCTCAATACTTTCTTCCAGGGTGAAACTTTCAAAAAGACCCGATCTCCCACTTCAAACTGTATATCTTCCTTCTTTGATCTGCATAAGATTTCTGCCTATCAAATGCCTTTCAGACGGTCACGGATTAATCTGACTGTGTCCTCCGTCTCTCGCACTAACTCAGGTCCCAACGTTTTCCTATCACGCAACTCAGTCCAACAGATCGAGTGCGACATTTACGCCCATAGAGCGCTTCATAGGGTGCCATACGAATGATGATCTGATAACTATTGTAAGCAAATTCAGCCAACGGCAAAAAGTTCTCCCAACTACCATGAAAATCGATTACGCAACCCCGCAACATATCCTCCAGAATCTGAATTACTCTCTCAGATTGACCATCAGTTTGTGGATGAAAGGATGTACTATAATCCAATCTTGTTCCCAAAGCCGTATGTAACGCCTTCCAAAATCTCGAAGTAAATCTCGATCTCGATCAGAAATAATAGACAATGGAACACCATGCAATCTGACAATCTCTGAAATATACAATCTTGCCAGCTTATCCAAAGTATAATTTACTCGCACAGGAATGAAGTGAGATGACTTTGTAAGTGTCAACAATCACCCAAACTGAATCTTTTTTCGAAGGAGTCATCGGCAAGCCAGTAACAAAATCCATAGTAATACGCTCCCATTTCCATTCAGGAATCTTGATAGGCTGTAACAAACCTAATGGATGTTGATGTTCTGCCTTAACTTGCTGACAAGTCAAACACCTAGCCACAAAGTCAGATATGTCTTTCTTCATACCAATCCAATAATACCTCTCTCTCAAATTCCGGTACATCTTATCTCCTCCGGGGTGCATAGCATATGGACTACTATAGCCTCAGTAAGGATAGTCTACCTCAACTCAGCATCATCAGGCACACAATATCTACCTTTAAAGCATAAAACTTCATCCTGATCAATTGCGTAATCTGAGTTTGTCCCCTGCTCTACTTGCTCAAAGATGGAAAGCAAGGAGCTATCAAGGGGCTGCTTAGTTTTGATCTTATCAACCAAGGTCGGCTTAACTTGCAATTCTGCTAACAAAGTGCCATCGTCATATAAATTCATCTTGGCCATTAAAGACCTCAACTCTGATACCGTCTTTCGACTCAAAGCATCTGCTACAATGTTAGCTTTACCAGGGTGGTAATCAATCACGCAATCATAATCCTTTAGAAGCTCTAACCAGCGACGCTGTCTCAAATTAAGTTCCTTCTGGGTCAGAAGATACTTTAAGCTTGATCTGTGAAAATGTAACTTCTCCATAAAGATAGTGTCTCCAAATCTTCAAGGCAAAAATTACTGCTGCCAACTCTAAATCGTGAGTAGGATAGTTACTCTCATGCGGCCGCAGCTGACGGGATGCATAAGCCACCTTACTTTCCTGCATTAAAACACAACCAAGTCCTGAATGTGAAGCATCACTATACACTGTAAAATCCTTCCCGGACTCTGGTTGAATCAACACCGGTGCTTGAGTCAAAACCGCCTTTAATTTCTCAAAGCTCTCCTGTTGTGCCTCGCCCCAGTCAAACAGCACATTCTTCCTTAACAACTTTGTCAAAGGAGAAGCAATGATCGAGAAGCCCTCAACAAAACGTCGATAATAACCAGCCAAGCCCAAGAAACTGCGGATTTCAGATACGTTCTTAGGTCGTTTCCAATTCATAATAGCCTCTATCTTGCTGGGATCAACCTGAACACCTCGCGCAGAAATAATATGCCCCAGAAATGACACTTCTTGAAGCCAAAACTCACACTTGCTTAGTTGGCATATAGACGATGCTCTCTCAAAGTCCGCAGAACGATCTTCAAATGCTCGTCATGCTCTGCCTCAGTACGAGAATAGATCAGAATATCGTCAATGAAGACCACCACAAATT